GGCTTCATTCAGTGTTTTTACCGGTTTAGATCACCTTTTCCGTTTGTTTTGGAGAGGAGGAGACCACTGCTGATAATTTGGCTCCTGGTTAAAACCACCTGAAAGTCTCAAGTTACGCAACTTGTCTGCAACCAGCCAAACAACATTGGAAAAACCCTGCTTTTTAACATGAAGCTGCTTTATTCGATGTTATCACTGGTTTTATTCATTTGATCTTTTTGTTTTGGAGAGAAAGAGACCTCTGCGGATCGTTCGGCTCCCGGTTAAAACCTCCTGAACAATGAACACTGAAGGAATTCTAACCAGGAGTTCACACTTGGCGTACAGTTTCCTCTGGTTGCAGTCTGCCATCCTTGCAGCCAGACACCAATCAGTCCCACACACTGTTCCTTTAAGGCACTTCCATATTATAGAGTGCCAATTTAAATACATTAAGATTTCAGAAAAATCCCAGTTTCCCAGTTATAATTACAACTTGAAAGTCAGACACTGCTCCTTAAGGCAACTTAGATATGATATGAATGTGGTATGTCACATTGTTTAAAATTTGTGGCTTGTTTCTTTTTTGATGAGTGTATTTGTGGGGTTGTCTGTCTGTATGTGCTGCGTCTTTATGTATTTATGTACCGCATGTTGTCTGATGTATTTTTCATGGCTTCTGCAGGGTGAGTCCCCTTGAAGACACAATAAAGTGAAGTGAGGTGAAGATAACACTTTTTCAGCATTGGCATATAAAATTGTGCAGTTGGACGCAGCACACGTAACAGCGTTCTGGTGTGGAAAGTGTGACACAGATAATCTTTGCTCAGCGCTGTGCTCAGTTATAAATGAGTTACATACCTGTTCAACCATCTGGCTTGTTTCCTATCCGTCTCTTATCTGGTTGTGTCAGCCAGCACACACTGTAGTTCCCAGGGAAGAAAGCACAAACCTTGCATCAACCTGCGCACCCAAATTCCTCGGAGCTCAATTATTAATGGCAAATAGATTGTGCACACACTTCGGCATCATTAGTAGCACTAATAAAAAACTAAATATTTGTGTGGGTCAAACTTGTGACGGTGGTGATTGCTGCAGAGATACTCACACGTCAGACCAACCAAGCATCACATGTTTGTTTTAGACATATTATATTTGTTGTCTGATTTACATTCACTCACAGCAGTTCTCTCACTTTATATTTGCTCAGGACTAGTCATAGAGCAGTGGAGGCTTTAATCTCCAAACAAGACACGTTTGTGTTAGAAAAGCCCTCCCACCCCCTCACTCTCCACTGCCATAATCCCTTCTTTAATATCTCACGTTGCCAGTGGCATTTGCCTCCTGCAAAATGGAGGATTGGATTACTAATGTCAGGAATGTAATGGAGGAACATGATTGAACATGTCACTTTGGTGCTTGCATTTGGTGGCCTAACGTGTTTTGTGATGCGCGATGGGTGGAAGCACTCGCTTTCCCCAAAGAGGAGTCAGCCACTAGAGGCTCAACAGGATCAAAGTGGGTACCGACTCCAAACGTCTATAAAACCAGATCAAAAGCGCTCGCTTGTTTCTCTGAAGCTGCTGCCCAGCTGACAAATCATCTTTGCTGGAAATAAGTTGCAAAAGAATTACAACGTTTGTCTTCTTGTGAGAGAAAATACTGAGTAAGCTCTCCGTACTGTAGCTCTGTTTGGCCCCGTGGTGGAATTCAGGCTTGTGTATGTCGGGGATACAAGCAGAGTTAAAACGTGTTAAACTGAGGCTCAGGCAAAGCAAACAGCAACCATCAGCATTAACCCCCTCACTGCCTTTATGCACTGAGCTCGCTGTGCATATTTCAGCTCATGCGCCTCAGCACTAGTTACTGTGAATTATTATTTGACAAACTGTTGTTCAAGAGGCATCAGAAAGTTGACAAATTAGTCAAGTAAAACTGCAGCCCTGGCAGAGAGACAATAGAACGGCTGACAAAAGAGGAAAAACACAAAACCCAACAAAGGCTTGTCTGTGAGGCAGAAAGAGAAAAGCAAAGCAAGCTTAATCGACTTTTAGAAAATAAAAGGCACCACAAAAATCATTATTTGCTCTTTGCCAAAGTGGCAGGTAGAGTATGGCCAGCTCTCTGCAGCTGGCTGGTATTTATTTTCCAGCCTGACCAAGCTGTACACGCAACATGTAGCCACAAGCCCGGGGCTCCACAGCATTTAGACCATGCTGTGCTTCGAGGTCTGCACCTGTCAGTGTGATTGATGAAAGCTGCCACCTCCTCAGCCTCCACGCAGGTAGCCACACACCACAACTCACTGCTCACTTCACTGTGAGCACTGAGAAGTTTTTATGCCTGCAGTTACTCACTGTGTCAGTCACTCAGTGAAGCTTGGCTTCAGAAGACCCAGTTTATGAATTAAAACTTAACTGTGAGTTGATGCAAGAATGAGGATAAAAACATAGGGCCGCAATTAAAGATTTCATTAACGATTAATCTGCTTTTTTTTCTGGATTCATCGTCTGGTCTTTGATGTAAAAACACTAGCATGAAATGCCCATCACAACTTCCCAGAGCCCAAAATGACATCTATAAATTACTTATTTTGTTCAACCAGCAGTCCCAAACCCAAAGATACTTCATTCATTGTTATATATTAAAAAATAACGAGCAAATCTGCATGTTTCAGGAGCTAGAACTAGCTAATGTTTGTCATTTTTGTTTAAGAAATGATAATCAGTTCTTTATAATCGCAATAGTTGCCGAATAATTTTCTTTCAACTGTTGAATCAATTTGACAAAGCTTCAAAAAACAAAATTAAATAGACTGTAAATCATTACAGTAGTTCCCAGCCAGGGTTCGGGGCCCGCCAGTGGTTCCATAGAGTTCTGGGGGGTTCCCAGAAAAACTGTGAATAGTTTATTTTCACTATTTAATTCACTATAGATAAAGCCACCTGTGAGTAAGAGTCATAAGACTGACAATGCTGTGGGACTGTTTTCATCGGTGTTACTTCCTCTGCGGTTGTATCCTCAGTTGTTGACGATGGGGCTGCAGCTAACGATTAACTTCATTAGCAATTAAAATGCCTCTTATTTTCTTAGTAGATTGATAAATCATGTTGTTAATAGAATGTCAGAAAATAGTGAAACAAGCCCTGTGTAGTTTTCCCAGAGCCTGAGCTGACATCTTCAAATGGTGTTTTATCTGACTAACAGGCGTAAAAATCCAAAGTAATTCAGTTTTTTATCATCTAAGACAAAGAAAAACATCACATTCTCACAATTAAGGAGCATGACACCTGCAGATTTCTGGCTTTTTTCCTTAAGATATTGTTAAAACGATGACTCAGTTATGAAAACAGTTGCCAATTAATTTTCTGTTGAATCAACAACTCGTTGCAGCTCTGGCTGACAACTATAAAATTCTGGTTTTGATTATATCATACAACCAAAATGTTTTTAGACAGACGTCCCTGGTGCAGATTCTTATCAAACGAGGTGCTGTGACCTAATGTGTATCATACAACAGGTAGTTCCAACCAAGCGATCTGATTTGACAACAAGACATTTAGAATGTGCCCAAATCAGCATAACAGCACACCTGGCTCATGGCCAATGACGTTAAAGCACACCCTCTCATGTAATATTGCTTAATTAATTTAGAGGTCCTTGCCACAAAAAAGGTTGAGAACCACCACCAATTATGTTAGAACATATATGAAATTAAATTTGAAAAATTATATTTTATTTTTCATATTTGATATTTTATAGTAGTATTATCAGATAATGATAAGAAGACAAGCAATAATGAATAAAAATAAATAAATATAAATACATAAATAGAGAGATAACGTCATTAAGGCTGCAACTAGCTGTTGCAGCTGTTATAACTAACTAACTGTTTTTCTTATTAATAAACCTGTTAATTATTTTTCAATTTATTGGTTGATTGTATGACCTGTACAATGTCATGTAAATTATTATTAATACATATAACAAGTTCAGAGCGCATCCCGACATCTTCAAGTTGTTTTGCACAACCACCACTGTAAAACTCAAAGGTATTTGGTTTATTGTTATAGAACTTTGAATCTGTGAATCTTTGCCATTTTGCATTAAAAAAATTACTCAAGCCATCGATTGATTATCAAAATTGTTCCAAATTTATTTTCTCACCACTGACTATTGATCAACTGAGTTATTCTCATTGTTTCAGCTCCCAAAGTTAATTGTTTGCTCTATTGTATGTTATACTTCTTTCAGCTCTAAATCATTAAGAATAGATGAATGTCTTCAGCTTCCAGGCCACCTTGACTCAAAGTGAATTTAAAGATAAATGTCTCACTTGCTGGCTACTGAATATAAATAATGCAAAACTAATCTGCACAGCACGAGGCAAGGGCACTCAGTCCCGACAACAGTCTGTTGTTTCGGAGTCGCTTTAGTTTATCTTACAAAGCAATCACAAACCAACGAGATGTGGGTCACATTCTGAGCCGAAAGATGTTAAAAATAACAAACAAGGAAGCCGTTGTGTCTGCAGTGAAGTCGGGTGCCGCACAAAGGCTGCATTCTTCACCAGGCCCACATCTAGGATCTTCTCATGCTCAGAATTTCCATGGCTTTGGTCGTTTTGGTCTCTGCTGCTTTTAATACTCCCCCCCGCTTCCCCAGCTCATTAGGAGCAGGCATACTGTACAAACTGTGACGTCATGAAAGAGGACTTTTCCAGAGGCGGGTGTTTCCCTTCAGGTGGGAGGGGTCACAGCTGAAAGGAGGAACTGTCCAGTCAATGCTGCTCTGTTCAACATTTTAAACAGACATTCCATACTGCATATTTAAAATGTCGGGCAGATATAGACTTAGACATTCAAGTGATATGTCTGAGCTTCTTGGCTGTTGGTGTGAGAGTCAAAACTCAGAAGTAATATACATTTACAGATTGTTAATCCATGTTAGACTGCTCGGCTTTGATTAGGGAAACGTAGGCTTTCTAATCATTTCATTCATTTCTTTTTTTTTCTGTCCAGTTTTGGGAAGCGATCAGCAGGCAGCCTGCGACGTGGATGTGAGTGCATCGTCCTGGAACCCTCAGAGATGATTGTGGTGAGTCCCATTGTTCACGCTTTTAGCAAACAAGTGTCAAACACACAAAATGGAACAGTTGTTTTTTATTTTTGACGAAGCTTTTCTCACCCAAATGATAATTTTCTGTCACTAACCTGAATCCAAACACCTGTGTTACATATGTGTAAAGCATAGTACCCTTCATTTACTGCAGTGTCAAACTCTGGTTCTCTGTGGCACAAAAATGCATTTACATGTCATTTATGATTTAAAATAATATCCTGGTTTCAATGTAAACCAGCAGTGTTGACAGAAGTTCAGCCTCAGTTGTCTCTGATGTTAGCAAACTGGAAAATTGTGATTATGACTGGTTTTGTAACTCATTTAAATGTAAAGATCGAGCTGCACCCATGTGTATCACCAAACTTACATGACCTACAGCAGAGTGTAGCTGTAACTGGGGAATAACATCCCTGTGATGTTTTGCACTAATCTTTTATAACTGCCTCCTGTTGACATTTCATCACAGCCTTAAAGCGCAGCTGTATTTAACTCCGTCATCTTTAATGGAGTCCAGCATGTGCGGGGTTGCTCGAGTCCACGGCTGGTGGAAGCGCTGACCCAGTTTTATGGCAAATCAAATGTTGGCTCACAGACCAAGTTGTTGAGAGCAAATCATTCCCGTCTCAATCATCTGTTGACCAGAAGCCCTCGCAGATCCGCAGATCAGAACAGATGCAGTTTTGCTGATGAAAAGGACGAATAGCAGAGACAAACTCATCGTTGTGCACGTTTAAGAACAGTTGTTGTTTACAGCGCTGCGAGAAACTGTATGTACAGTATACTCACTGTTAGTTTGAGTCTGTTCATTTGATGACGCACGACTGTAGATCAGATAATGCTGGACTTAAACTAAACAAGTGATTTCAATGTTGCAGACAAATTTCCAATGTCAGAATAAAATGAGAGTTTTGCTAGAGTTGTAGCGCTCTCACATGATCTCAATTGTTTGTTGTAAGGTGGTCATAACACTGTCTTAAGTCAGTCTGTCTCTAATCGTGATGGTCTGATAATATCAAACATGTCTAATATTATCATCAATCAAATACTGAATTTTAAAGACGTGAACATCGTCAGCAACCAAAAGGTGCGCTCTCTCCTGCACCAAACAAGAAGCAGCAAACCAGATAGACAGTAAACATGCAGGGGAGTCAGTAACACAGTTAACCAACAGAGGCTGGAGGCGACTTGAGGCGACAAATCTAAAATGTAAAGTGTGTAGGCAAATGTAGTTTGTCTTTATAGATCTTATTGAAGCCGAATTGACAAGAATACTGTCGACATACACTGCCTGGCCAAAAAAAAAGTCACCACCAAAAAAAAAGGTCATACACTCTAATATTTCGTTGGACCGCCTTTAGCTTTGATTACGGCACGCATTCGCTGTGGCATTGTTTCGATAAGCTTCTGCAATGTCACAAGATTTATTTCCATCCAGTGTTGCATTCATTTTTCACCAAGATCTTGCATTGATGATGGTAGAGTCTGACCGCTGCGCAAAGCCTTCTCCAGCACATCCCAAAGATTCTCAATGGGGTTAAGGTCTGGACTCTGTGGTGGCCAATCCATGTGTGAAAATGATGTCTCAAGCTCCCTGAACCAGTCTTTCACAATTTGAGCCCGATGAATCCTGGCATTGTCATCTTGGAATATGCCCGTACCATCAGGGAAGAAAAAATCCATTGATGGAATAACCTGGTCATTCAGTATATTCAGGTAGTCAGCTGACCTCATTCTTTGAGCACATACTGTTTCTGAACCTAGACCTGACCAACTGCAACAACCCCAGATCATAACACTGCCCCCACAGGCTTGTACAGTAGGCACTAGGCATGATGGGTACATCACTTCATCTGCCTCTCTTCTTACCCTGATGCGCCCATCACTCTGGAACAGGGTAAATCTGGACTCATCAGACCACATGACCTTCTTCCATTGCTCCAGAGTCCAATCTTTATGCTCCCTAGCAAATTGAAGCCTTTTTTTCCGGTTAGCCTCACTGATTAGTGGTTTTCTTAAGGCTACACAGCTGTTCAGTCCCAATCCCTTGAGTTCCCTTCGCATTGTGCGTGTGGAAATGCTCTTACTTTCACTATTAAACATAGCCCTGAGTTCTACTGTTGTTTTTCTTCGATTTGATCTCACCAAACATTTAAGTGATCGCCGATCACGATCATTGAGGATTTTTTTCCGGCCACATTTCTTCCTCGAAGACGATGGGTCCCCACTATCCTTCCAGTTTTTAATAATGCGTTGGACAGTTCTTAACCCAATTTTAGTAGTTTCTGCAACCTCCTTAGATGTTTTCTCTGCTTGATGCATGCCAATGATTTGACCCTTCTCAAACAGACTAACATCTTTTCCACGACCACGGGATGTGTCTTTCAACATGGTTGTTTAGGAAATGAGAAGCAACTCATTGCACCAGTTGGGGTTAAATAACTTGTTGCCAGCTGAAAGATAATCGCCCATGCAGTAATTATCCAATAGGAGGCTCGTACCTATTTGCTTAGTTAAATCCAGGTGGCGACTTTTTTTTTGGCCAGGCAGTGTATGATACCTTTTATCTTGTGTTTATGGAGTACTGTGTTTTTGCAGACACATGCAGATTTGTTAATATGTCATAATTCTTTAAGGGAGTTTGGCGCAGTATTTTCCCCCAGGAGCAGGATGGGAAATAATCTCAAAATAAATCTAGCTGTAGTGAAAATGGTGATCCTGCAACATGCCCAGTGTTTGCAAAATCTTACAGTCTGTGACTACATACTCACATTAGAGTTGAACCGATACCGATACAGTATCAGAAATGCCTCTGATACTGCCTAAAATGCGGTATCGGGTATCGGTGAGTACAACCTATGACCAATCCGATACCACGTAATGCCTCACGTCATTTCGCATACGCACGCTACAGGCAAACGAAACGGAAACGGAGCGGAGTTTAAAAAGCATTCTACTGTAGCCTTTATAATGTCTTTTTTACCAAATTGTATGGCTGCACTTTAACCTGTGTCTTGATCTGTGTCAACACTGGATAATAATAATAATAATAATAATAATAAAGTTTTATGGCATTAATTCTACTATTATATATTTATTTCTTAATATTTTACATAGAGTTTTAGGAGTTGAGACATACAACAATTCATATCCCATCCGTTTTTATTTTACGCACTGGTATCTGATCAGTACTCGGTATCAGCAGATACCTAAGGTTCAGGGATCGGAATCGGTATTGGGAAGGAAAAAGCGGTATCAGTACATCTCTAACTCACGTCTTCAGGTGTGAGAAAGTGTCGGACTTTAATCCTTTAAAAGTCTTTTCAAAGTCTTCTTGTGTAGGCAAGAGGGGAAAATTGCAGGCTCAGATATGACAGGATAGGAGGTCTGGAGAGTTTAATCAAAACTGGACTAGAGTTTGTTTTAAGATGTTTCCCTGTTCATCAGAAAAGCTTCTTTAGTTGCAAATTTTCATAGGGAATATTACCAGTATTTCTCCCTTTTGAGCTGATCATGTCTACCAATAGGGACGTCCATCAAATCACAAAATATACAGATCTGCAACTAAAGATTTGTTAGATTATTAATTAATCTGCAGATTATTTCCCTCCCAAAACTTCACATTGCAGTAAAATGCCAGAAAACAGAGAGAATGTCCACATTAATTGCCGAAAGCGTGTTAATGTTGAACATCAGTACAAAATTTAACATCATAAACAGAGAAAAGCAGCAAATCCTTAAAATTGACAAGCTAGAGGTAGAGTATGTTTTATGACTTTAATGATGAATTGATTATTAAAATAGCTGCATATTATTTTTCCTGTCGATAGACTAATCGATTGTTTGCCTAAGCATTACTACAGGGATAAATCCTGTCTTATCTAACTTTAAGATTAGTGATTTGCATTAATATCCGCACTTTGTATCATCTGAAATATTGAGGTGAACCTCATAGATATACAGTATATGATAAGAGGAAGAACATGGTGTTTTATACTTTATATTGATGCATGTAATTGTACATTCTGTCATTTATAATTTACACAAATCCATCATCCGATAGATTCATCTTGAAAGAGGAACTCGGAGGAAAAACATAATTACCATAATGAACATTTTGTTGACCAGTTGCAGGCAACAGAGTGCTGAGGGACAGTGAACAAAGCTGTTTTAATACTTTCACTACTTAAGCCAGCAAATCTGCACACACTGTGGCGAATGAAGCCAATTCGTGACACCATTTTGATCACTGATTACCGTTTCCCCACTGTGAAGATGTTACTTCTGATATGGTTTCTCACAGTACATGCATGCATCTACACGCTCACTCTCCACCATCTCTAATACGTACAAATCCTCCCTGTTGCCATCTTCTTTTTTTTTTATAAAGGAAGACATGAAACATACCCCACGTCTTGACAGCATATAATAACGGATGGTTGGCACCACTGCAGCCACAGCACATCACATGCTGTAATTGCTGTGTCTCCATGAGTGCGCGTCGTAGATGGGGGGGCTTCTGTTAACTGAGCCTGTATCAGCCACTCACAAAGCCCTCAGTAATAACACCCTCTGCTCTGCTCTGCTCGCTGCAGACACTTTCTGGCCTTACCCCCTTTTGCTATAATAGGTGCCAACCCGCCCTGTAATTACTGAGGAGGGTTTTTGGTGCTGCTGAAATATAGATACATATGGATAAACCCCCATCTGCTGCAAGTTTGAGTTACACACCGAAGGATGCACACAGTTCCAAACATGGGCAGAGACTGACGCATCAAAAGGAAAGAAAAAATAAGATGCTCACGTGTCCGTACTGTACACAGACACACACACACAACATGCACACATTGCTCCGAGATTTGCAATTAGACACAAAATCACACTTACGCTCTCACTCACACACAGCTCCCCTGCCGTTGTCATGGCAGCAGTTGGTACGGCAGAGAGAGAGAGATTTTAGTGGTGTAATCCCAAAGGCTGAGCACTGTGAAATGTGAAGCCGCAGTGAAAGTAGCGAGTGAGAGTGAGAGGAGGAACGGGTCCAGAAAAAAAAGAAGAAACTTAAATATGTCATTCCAGATTGACCCAAAGCCGCCAGGCAGCAGAGTGGTCCCGTTTAACCAAAAATACTTCAGAAAACTGTAGATTATGACTTCACTGCCTGCGATGTCAAAGTGTCATCCTGTGCCAGTTTCCACTTGGACATTTTTTTTTCCCTCCTCCCAGCTCATTAAAAATGGAAACATGGATTTTATCTTGTTTTAACATGTAATTTCATTGTGGTTGATGTGTTTAACAGAGACGCAGAGAGTCTGCTTGTCTTTAACTCCGCCAGACTCCATCTGTGTTCATCACTGCCTTGTCAATCAAGCTCCTCTCCATCTCCCTCCGTCGCTCTCTTTCTCCCCCTGTCTCTCTTTTTGTGTTGTGAGCACCCTTTGACGTAGGTGTGCATCGTGCAGCCCACACACACTTCTATTTTTACGCAATAAGAGGGGCGGGAGGCAGGCAGGCAGGCAGGGGGAGGAGGTGGGAGGAATCAGAGATAGAGTACAGGAGGGTGGGGTTTTTGGGTTTGAGCGTGTGTGTGTTTTGGGGAGGGCGTGAATGAAGATGAAGACAGTCACTCCCCCCTCACTCCATCTCCCTCCCTCATTCTCGTTTCCAGGTGGACTATATGGATGAAAATGAGGAGTACTTTCAGCGACAAGCCTCACACAGACAGTCCCGTCGGCGCTTTCGGAAGATCAACCAGAAAGGGGAGAGGCAGACAATCATCGACACCGTGGATCCGTACCCCACCGGAAAGCCACCCATAGCACGGGGATACCACACGGTGAGTTGCACCCTGAGCTTGTGTTTACCCCCGCTGCGGTGAATCTCTGTGCGCTCAGTGTTGCTCCTGTTTGTGTGTCGTGCTCCTACTTCAGAGCCTGTTGTGCAGTCATGCTTCAGATCATAGTTGGACATGTGTGTTCCCAACTTTGTGCTGTCTTCCTGTGTGCTGGCCTCAGGTGAGCCTTGGTTGTAGATTGTTGTGTTTTGATGTCTTGTGTCCCAGGGAAGGGCACCCTTGTCCCTCAGGGTACGCTTCAAGCCTGTTTTCTTGATCTTTGCACCAAGCTGTCCTCCCTGTAGTGTTTAATTGTTGTTTTACCTGTCCTTGCTAGATTAAAGTTGCAACACTTGTGTGTAATGTCTGTAGCTTCTGCTGGCTTTCGTGTGACGATCTACCCTTGATTTTATAAATGTTTTGTAGTTTGTTGAACACCCCTAATACTGTAGTTTCTCTGTGCTTTATGTGTGTCTTTGAAAATCTGTCTGTTTGTGCTTCTTATGGTTGTCAGAAAAGAATTCTGATCTGAGTTTTTTCATGTTTGTGGCACTTTTTATATCCAGCATTTGCACCATAACACACTCCTCAACAATACATTGCTTTAGCTCTGGTCTTAAGTTGTCTTTGCAGTTATGAGGATGATTAAAATATCAGCTTATTCCAAAGCAAACTCAACATTCATAGAGTCATATAGTCCCTTGGATATACAGTCAAAGTGTGCCATGGAGAATGAAACTTTTCTTAAATGCATGTTGCTGTTTGATGATTGTAGAACAAAACCAAGAGGAAGTAGTTTAGTTTGAAAGTTGTGTTTTAAAAGTGTTTGGCTCCAACTTGAGAATTACTTCTGCTACATAAAATTCTGCCAGTTGTTGGACTTTTCTCTAATATTTGCCTCTGTATTGTAAAACAGTGCACAGCTTTACGTCCGCTGGCGTCTTAAAGGAGTAGTATATGTAGGATTTACAGGGATTTAGTGGCATCTGGCGCTGAGGATCACAACCGGATGAATCTTCTCACGGTTAGAAGTCCTTCAGTGTTCATTGTTTTTACCTGGAGCCGAATTATCTGCAGAGGTCTCTTCCTCCCTGAAACAAACAAACCAAGTGATATATGCAGATAAATACACTGAATAAAGTGGTGTCACGTTATAAATCAGTGTTTCTCCGACACAGTTCAGCTTGTAACACATGGGCTGTTAACCCAGCACCTGCTACTGTGTGCTCACCTTTTTTCTCTGATAACTTAAGATCCAGATGTTTGGGTTTTTACCAGAAGCTGAATTATCTACCGAGGTCTCTTCCCCTTCAAAACGGAACTGGTTGTTGGTTGTTAATCTGCTAAAAACACAGAATAAAGCAGTTTCACGTAAAAAAAAAAAAAAAAACCTCACTGTTTTCTCCACACTGCTCGTCATGGAGGTGCTGCTTATTATGGTGGCCGATGCAAAAACGCAGATAACCCTATCTAGAGCGAGTGTTTGGTTTGTCCATTCTGGGCTACTGTAGAAACATGGTGGTGCAACATGGCGAACTCTGTGAATGAGGACCCACTCCCTACATAGGTATAAATGGGTCATTCTAAGTTGACAAAAACCCAGGGATTCTTATTTTTGGGTGATTATACATTGATTAAAACACACTTATTATGGGACGTCGGTGGCTTAGTGGTGGAGCGGGCGCCCCATGTGCGGGGCTGTTGCCGCGGCGGCCTGGGTTCGAGTCCGGCCTGTGGCCCTTTGCTGCATGTCTCTCTCTCTCCCCCCTTCGCACTTCACTGTCCTGTCAATTAAAGGCAAAAAATGCCCCCAAAAAAATATCTTTAAAAACACACTTATTATATTATATTCCTCACTGGACCTTTAATATATTCAAATTATACTGCCTATGGAAGGAAAACCACTTCAGTTGTACTCCTCACAACTCTAACAAACATGGCTTTATCTGATGGAGTCACAAGCAAAACAATGGTTGGAAGTCACTGTTTAAAAGAACTGCACCGCACCGTGTCTCCTGATGCAGCTCAGTACCAAAAACACGGGATGGTTTTAATGCAGAGCACCCAGAATACATCTAACAAGTTGGGCTGTCTATCATTAGTTCAGGCCTGGAGTTTCATCATGTTAGGGGCAAGGCCACTTGGCCAAATGCAAAATGCAGCAGCAAAGCCATCCATTAAAACAATGATTTTGAAGTCCAGGGAAATAATTAATTTAACAAATGCATGAATTTAACTTTAGGGTTCAGGGAGATTTTATTTTTAATTCGTATGGTGCACACTGGTGTCTGAAAACCACATTGACAGGAAAGAGGCAGAGGATAAATGGTGAAATCAGCTGGGGCGGTGCGGGCAGGGCGTCGAGGCCACTGTGGTCACAGCTTATGCAACAGTCTGAGGGACATAAGGCCAAACTGAGGGGGCACAGCGGCCACGGCCTTTGTGGCCCCCTTGAAATTCCTGCCTGGCGTTTGTGTCATTCTTGGAAGGCCAATTTAGTTTAGTTGTTTGAGAGGTTAACTTGCAAATCTGGTAAACAAATTGATCACATATACATTATATTGTGTTCAGTAGTTTTACATCAGATGTGTAGAGAAAGGAAATAGAGGGGGAAGAGGAGAGTTGGGAGAAGGAGAACAGTGTTTGGAGTCAGATGGTGCCTACTTTTATGGGTCTTACAGCTGTTCTACTCTAATAAACTCTCATTTACATACCCAACAGTACGCCTGTTGTTCAAATCAAACACCAGTGCCAAATGCTTCATGTTTGAAACCCCTCTCGGACAGTATTTCTCCCAGTTTCAGTTTTGTTTCAGCGTGTTAGAGGCTGGACACATCAGCACACTTTGTATTCTGGAGGATAGTAAGGTGCTCTGACAGTGTAAAGCCTCATCCAGTCACAGTGTGCTATATTTGTGGAGGAGTATTGACTTTAACCATGTGAGGGGATTCGACTCCAGCAGAGGAAGAGTTAGCTGCCCGTTGCGTTGCACCAGGCCGTCTCCCCTCTGTGCTTTCTTTCCATGGGAATAGGAAGCAAAGCATTTTCACACTAATGATGCAAATACCCAGCATGCAGTTGTTACACACAGCATTTCCTGTTCTGCACAATTTCACTGCATTGCCTTCATTCCTGGCATTCCCGCGGGGGTTCTGTCAGTGTACCCGGTTCTTCTTGGAACACTGTGAAACGATCATGCTTAAAACAGGGGAAGAAATGCGGCAAACGTCATCTCCCTCCTGCCTCCCTCTGGCCCCACCCTGTTTCCTAAATTTAGACTCGCTGTGTTTTTGTTTCAAAAGACTGCACTGAACTTTCGCATGGCCCGACATCTCCCGTCGCACACTCAACTCTCCTCGCTCTTGTACTGTTCCTGTGGGAAGGATGGAGCCGGTACCATGGCAACCAGCAGTCCCAAATGGGCTCTGCTCGAGTGCACTTAGAAGTACAGTAGGGAAGGGAGCTAACTTAACAAGAGTGCAGTACGCCACCGCCGCTGCTGCTGCTGCTGCTGCTGCTGCTGCTGCTGCTGACAGAGGGGTGGAGGAGAGCAGAGTGACACAGAAGCTGAATCTGGGCGGATGCTAAGCTGACATAGCAAGCTAATCTCCAGCATTTAGAATGCCAGGCACTGCTCAGATTTTCCTCCCTCCTACCCCGAGGCGTATTTAGGAGGTGAGAAATGCACCGAGGAGAAACTCGGGATTGAAGAAAGGAAATCTCTCCGGCAGGCAAGGTTTTTATTCAGCTTAGTCACTCCTATGAAGGCAAATGTGAGGCTAGGTAGGAAAACATCAGAGGAGCCACTGATCTGAAGGTTTCAAAGCTCCTCAAATGTGAGAAATACTGTAGACAAGTCTGTTTTATTATGATGATTATTTTCATAGCTGATTGCTCTGTTGGTGATTTTTATTGATTGTTTAGTCTGTAACATAAGACAGTGAAAAATGATCACAACTTCCAAGATGGTCTCACATTTCTTATTCAGTCCAAAACTCAACGATAATTAATTTATAATTCTTTAAAACTGAGAAAAGTGGCACATCCTCATGGTTGAAAGGCTGTAACTAGTGATTGTTTGGCATTGGTTGCATGATAAGGGACTTAATTGATTATCACAGTTGTTTGATTTCTGTTTAATAATTCAGCCAATTGTTTCAACACTTGTTTTATTCAAGCTGGTACAGACATGACGAAGCTGGCAGACTGTGATACCTTCACTAGGATTAAAAGAATAAACAGTGATGGAAGGTATTTTATTTCAAACTTTTAATATCACAGTCTAAACATACGCTGTTACAAGTAAAATTGTGAGACTTAAAATTTTACTTAAAGGTCCAGTGTGTAGGATTGAGGCGGTATATTGGCAGAAAGGGAAAATGTTTTTTTGTGTGTGTATTTTCACCTGAAAATAAGACCTGTCTTGTTTTTGCAACCCTAGAATGAGCTGTTTATCTACATAGGGAGTGGGTCCTCCTTCACAGAGTCCGCCATGTTGCACCACCATGTTTCTATAGTAGCCCAAAGTGGACAAATGTAACTCTTGCTCTCGGAAGGGGTGAGGGAAAAAATTGATACAGCATAGTATCGCAATATTTTTGTTTGGCAATATCATATCGTCACACAGTGCCAAATATTGATTTTTTTGTTATATATATTATTAATATGACAAATACAAATTAAACTTTAGATAGCCTTCTGGAGTAATATAACCAACACTTTGCTGAAAAAAAAAAGGCTGAAGTGAGATGAACAGACTGAAAACTTTATCTTATTAGATTAAGCGGATGTTGACAAAGTTTTCCCTTGGGGACATAATTTACATTTGAAAAAAGGTAATAAATCGCAATGTTTTATCGCAATACTCAGCATATTGCAACATATTTAAAATCGCCATAATATTGTATCGTGACTTAAGTATCATGATAATATCATGTCGTGGATCCTCTGGTGATTCCTTCCCATAGCTCTCAATAGGGCCATTTGTGTTTTTGTATTGGCCG